CTGCTTCATTCTCTGGGCCAAAAGTTTAGCATATACTGAGGCCTCTTCCTTATTTTTCTTGGAACAGTTTCTTCAGAGCAATACACTGGCGTTTGTGTTGCAAGACATGTAGAATAATAAGACACTGAATCTTGGGTGCTTTGGTCCTAGGTTTCTTACCTTCTTTGTTTAAGGGCTTTCTTACAAAATATCGGTGGGCATCATCTTCTTTAGAGAGATTGAAAAGTTTACAGATTCTGCTAGCTCTTTTGGGCCCCAGATGATGACGCACCATGGTATTAGTCAGTCCAGGAATATACTTCTCTCTTTTATTCACAATAACCAAGTTGAGAACATTCAGATTAGCAGCCACAATGCAACCCCAAAAATATGTGCTTTCTTTCTCCAGTTCTCCTTGGTTTATGACAGGAATGCCCCTTACTCAGTAGCAGGCAGACATGATCCCGGGTCAAGACATCCTGATTCATGGAGAAACCTTGCTTGTCATTCCCACCACTGATTCAGACCACATAATCTTTCCATTCTTCACCCAGAGCATCAGTTGCAACTTCTGTAGCCATGTGCTTCTCATAAATAGTACGAGGTTTGCATTAACTGTCCACTTCAATGAGTTTCTGGCAGCCAGTGGCTGGGAAGGAGACATATAGTTTCATCTTGAAGCAGCTGATAGTCTCCAAGGCATCATGAAAAACAGTAATAATCATCTTGATATAAAGCCTCTATTTATCTCCTATACAATGAAATATTGTTAGAATACCTTTAATTTTTTTAAGCAAACAATTCTTGCTTGTTTGTGACACTTTCCTCAATTTCAGGTCCCCAAACCCTCAGACTTTCTTCATTATCTTGCCTTCCACCAAACAGAAAGCTTATGTGAGAATATGCAAACTGCTGGCCTTAAATATGTGGCCTGTAATTTTGTTTGGCCTAGAAATTTCTTACATAGAAACCCAGATTACCAGCTTCTTTTCAGAAATAAAGCGATCTAGCAACTGGGCAGACAACTCTGCATGAAAATAATCTGTAGGAAATAATTACGGTTCCCCTCTTTGACAGGACTTGTAATCTCCAGTTCTTATCCCCCATTCTTGATTGTACTAGCCTGGCCCGGGAAGATACATAATACATCTGAGACCATTTGACTAGCAAATAAAAATAGCCCTAATTACTTTTAGAATGGCTTGATAGTAAGATTATACCCAATTTTAATCATATCCTTGTTGTAGACTTGAGGAACATACACATTAACATAGTACCTGTAGGAGACATGCAATAAATGCATGAGTGGTGAACAGTCTTTTAATAAGCACTATTCAATCATATGGTCAGTCTTATGGTCTTTCTGCACATATTTCTGAGTTAATTAAGTTCAGAGGCATAATTTTTTTTTTAAAAAAAGGTACTTTCCATTCTATAAGTATACAAAACTTATAATCCACAAATATTAAATTACCATAACCATTAAAAGAATGGAAAGAGGAAATATACATATTTCCTACCAAACTCTACAGTGCCCAAGAACTCTCCGTTTAGGAACTTTATGGAATTAAGAGGACAATTTTATGCAAGCTGTTAAAAGATTTAGATTAAAATGTACTTTTCTGAGTTTCCTTTTGACGGTACTAATTTTGCCATTATGCCCAATCATTTCTATGCCAGAAGATGACTACCAAATTCTAAGGCATATACTTTCACTGCAAACCACCTTTTTTCTGACACATGCCCTAGCTATGCATAAACACACCAGCAGAGGGACTCCATACACCCCTAAATAAGTAAAACAGAAGAGACTTTCTCCATC